TTTGGAAGATTTATGACAAGGTAGTAAATAAAAAGTAGTAATTTAAAGTGAAATGATCCCAAAGCAAACATTATAGAAATGTAACTCTTATACGTCAAGTGACCAAGATTTTAACTGGGTGATCGAAATTTATACTGTGACCATTTCATTGTGTGAAATTTTCGACATCATTAGACTACTTAATGCTCGTATTTTTAGGTTTGTAAGATTTTAGTAGCATGTATGAATTCATCATCTAGCTGATTGTGAAAAGGACCATAGATTGAAAATTAAAATTACTAGGTTGCGCATTTAGGTTAACTGTTCTACATAGAGTACAAGTGAATCTATCGAAACAGTTAATATATTTTAGTTGAAAGCTATAAAATAAGCAGAAAGTAGCAGAACATTTCATTGGCCTCTCTTTTATCGAAAGTATTATTGGTATCATTGAGAATTTGAATAAAATTCGCTAATATAGCTAAACTTTAAATGGAAACAATCTTATGATCAGAAATAAAACTCATATCTTTCAATGAAGCTAAAGTGGTTGTTTTCGGATCTTTGAATCTGAGGCTTTAAAATTTACAAAAGTGTGCTAAAAGATGTAACTCTGTTGGTTACAAACTAATTCGCTACTTTCAATATTTATATAAAATTAAATGGGAGATAATAGCAATTATTTTATTGCTGAAAGTTATGATCACGATTTATTTCAAATGAATTATTGTTAGACATCTGGTTACTATGATATTATTTTAACTTTACATTTACTGGTTTTGATTATTAAACACCTGCGACAAATCGATTTTTCGAAGGTTTCTTTATAGAACGTAAATGTTCAGCTGAATACTATGTATTTTAATATCTTTGTACTAAAATACATAACAGTTTTGTCAATGGTTTACATTGATTGTGACATAATTTCTGTATAATATACTCTTGGTAATTGTATGCATGTTATAGATTCTAGAAGCATATGAAATCAAGATTGTGGTCGGTCACACCAAAGCCTATAGATTGTACCTGACGCTTCATAAAATATAAAACAGATTTTATTTACATGTATATATATGATTATTTTCTCAAAAAGATTGACTTGTGCTTATCAAATTTTATTAAGACCCAAATAAATTATGTTTTGTGGCTAAAACTATGAACTCTAATTAGTTTGCTAACATAAACAAAGTTTTGTTTGTCATTCAAATAAAGCCTAGTATTTCTATAGCACGGAAATTTTAAAAGTTATCAGTGTTAATTTTCTGGTCAATGAAGGTTTCGTAAAAGTCACACATGTGTCTCATTCTTGTGATCAACATAGAAGTTAACCATTTTATGATTAAATTTATTGCGCCATGAACCAAGTAGATGGTCTTTCTGATCTACGATCAAATGAATTTGTACATTATAGTTATCGGTGCACAAAAAATTATATAAAACAGTATTTAGGAACAGATTTGAAATATTTAAGATCATTGAACGCGCTAAATTAGTGATCGACTGGAGGTCATTAAAACACTAATTAAAGGCAGTCTTTGGGAACGTTATAGCTTATTTACCTATATTAACGTAATTCACTATTTTGGTACAGTAAGACAACAGCATCTACAAAAATATTTAGAGATATTGCTTAAGATTTAATCAATAAAATGAGCTATTTTAAAACCAATTCACATGTATTCTAGTTGACATGAATGTAATTATCTAGGGATAACTGCAGATAAAAGTTATGTATATGAACTTTCAATAAATTATTCTACCCAGGTCCAATTACCTTGAGAATTATTAGGTTTTTATAAAATAAATCATCACATCATATATACAATTTCAACTATCAATCTCCAACACAAGCAACACTTATCTATTTCAACATTAATAAATTCAGCTTACATATGATAAACTAACCAGTCAAAATTGTGTTTGGTTATTGCCGTGGAGACATTTGTTGATGTAACCTATCTACATGTGATCAAACATATAAGCATAAGTTTCGGAATATAATTCCTTAAATCTTTATTTGACTGGTACACTTCATTAAAACTATTTCTAAGATGCAAGTAAAAATAAGACAACATAACCCGGCAATCTGAAATCACAAAAGATCCCTCAACTTCTGACTTATAAGTAAAGCTTGTCACTTTTGAGTTTCGCAGTAGCATAAAAAATTAAGACTGGCTGAAGAAAAACTGTTCGAGGTAATATATTTAATATAAGTAATATATATGAACTTTACACTTAGCTTGTCATGCTTTCATACGACTATTGAACGAGAATTTCTATCATTTTGACGAAAATTGATCCTATCCATTTATTATGTGTGTTATATTGTAATAGTTTGGACGCAACGAAGACAGTTTAACCCGCCTTTTTTATGGTGTATGTATGCAAAGCCATTTGCAAAACATAAATGATTATCCATTTACACTTTTTTTAATTCTATCAAGTATCTGAATTAATGTGTTTTATTTTTTTAAATACATATGCTAGAATACTTTTTTTTCTAGTCAAGTATTCATTGAGGATAGAGAAGAAACCTAGGACTGTTAAAATATTTTTGAATAATCCATTTATGACTGTCCATAAATTGTAACTTCGCATGTTTCAACACCTTATTAGATGATGTACCACTGTATATTTGGATTTTATGTTAGTGGATAATTTAAAATTCGGAATTTTTCTTATTATAAAATCACCATTTAATTGTTTTGATTATGATCATAGAAATCTTTATTAAATCCTTAGTTTCAAAGAATAGGATTTCTTATTGGCCACTCTACAGTACATGTAATTGACTATTTTTAATGTTTTATTAAAGTTCTACTGAGTCACCGATTCTTTTAAAAGCGATTTATAAGCACCAAGAAGTTTGTAACTAAGTATTATTTTTTACTAGTAAACTATAATCTAGAATTTCGCCGAATTCTGTTGTTGTTTTTTTAAAAGTTTTTAATGAGACTTTATTATCTTTTCTCTTTGTAAAACAATTGATCAAGCGGTAATTTTAGTAGGATAAAGAATGTAACAAGTAATTCTGAAATCAAAATATTTATATACTTTGTTTACCAATAGATATGAGATTTTGGCTAAAAGTACAAACTACATAAAAATAAGCATGTCAGTAAAATTATTTTATTATCATTATTCGTATTTTAAGGTCATTCACTTCTATGTATTTTTCTTTAATAGTGTAACTTACAAACTGTGCTAAACACATTTATCAGTGTTTATAATTATATAATTGAATTTATTATTTCTAAAAAATTATGGAATAAGATGTGATGGAAAGTTAACAAGTAAATTCAGAAAGTCGAAATATGTAATATACAGAGTAGAAAATGTCAATACTGTTATCAAGATAAACATTATGTAAGGATATTTAAAATTAATTACTAGAATATAAGAAAATAATTATCCACATATAATATTGTAGAACAAAAAAAAACATGCTTCATAAATGTCATTATTCATTTTGTATTTTCTCAGTTTTATTCATCTGATAATCTATTAGTGGTATTTTTAGAAATAGTCAACATTTAGTTAAATTTAAAGATAACTATCTGTATGGATTAATATATATTCAATACTTAATCTATGTTAATTAATATTATATAACTAAATTGATGAAGCATTTCTTCTTTTGTTCAATTTGATTAAACAACCTGTAAATAACTAACCTTTTAAAATACACTAATATATAATTTTATTGTTTCCATTCTAAAATTAATGAACTGTAAATAGATTATTGTATTCTAAGTAGGTTAAATAATTTTGATACAATGGATTTTTATCAAATAAACTAATAAAATATACAATGAATGAAGTGTAAATTGAAAATCATTAGATTTAAACTTAGTGAATGTTTTACTCGTGTCCAGGATTAAATTTTCAGTTTGCCTTTATATGGACTAGAAATCTTCAGTGTTGTTTGACAGTCAATACTTTGAAAGTTAATCTGTGTTTGAAAAGCAAATTATTTTTAAATTATACAAAACCTTTATAAAATTATCTTCATTCAATTAAGACTTAATATGTTTTGTTTAATTGTATAAAACGTTTTGAGTTATATTATAAATAACAGATTTCACGGAATCTCGTTCAATTACTCGGTTATTTTGTGGTGTAAATTACTTATATCCACACAATTAGTATATAACGGTGGTCAGGCATATAATGTATTTCGGTAGAAGTTCAATGAGGAAAGAACGGGAACGGAACGCAGTTGGTATGAAAATGCATAAACAATGAAATCTGAGACAATGGATTGGTGTTCCTAACAGGAAAAGTCAAGTGTTATATGATGGATTAATATTTTGCAAATTAACGACTCACTATATGGTTCTCAGATTTTATTGAGATGCTATGTAATTTAGTGTCTAACACATTCAATTGCCCCCCCTCGTGTTCGTGTTCACTACAATTTCAAGTTAAAATATCTATGAAGATCAACATCTATATTTCTTGAATTATGAAAGTTTTTAAACTAAATTGCTTTAATTAAGCAGTTCCGTTCTATGAGCTAGTTTAATTAATTGTGAAGCTTTTATTGTCTTTCTAGACAACATCATCAGCACAAGCTTTCCCACTACCTCAAAACCAAATTGTGTGTTCGCGATTCATAGAACTGTACATCATTACTTTGAACCCTTTATATTTTGAGTGGTTCGCACAAACTGATTAGTCAACAAATTTTTAAATTACTTACTGTCATGTGTATTAGGTATGATCATTATGCTTCACATAATATTTTGCTTTATTCGTATATCTTCCATGGGTATAATTTTTAAAATAACTTCCATTTTGTAGACTCAATATTTTCTTTTATGCTCTATTTTGTAATTAGTTATTTTTTTGTACTTCTAATTATCCAATAATAAATATCGTGTTCTCATGTATCAATATTTAGTTATAGAATTCAATGTGTATTTCTACATATCCTACAGTTTTATTTACACTCACTTAAAAATCCAAATCCTTTCAGTTTTTAATACCAATAGACGTATTTTCCCATATTTCATTTATAGTATAAAACTGATCATGTAACAGAAATAAATAAGCCACCTCATTGGTCTGCTGATTCAAGATTTCCCACAAATAATTATTCGAAGGTTAGTCAAAATGGCTTACTAAATCATATTAATCATCCACCGGTCAAAATATACACAGAATCTGAAGTTCAGTCTGTTCCAACACATAATGAATATCCTTTTACAAACGAAATCAACAAAGCTGAGGTAAATTCTAAATTTATAGAAATTAATGATTTATGTTTATATTCAATACCACTTAAGTAAATGTATATAAGCATGTATATATTTGGAGTATATTTTAATGTGTATGTTAACAACATGAAATGTACTAATTACATAACATTAAGTTTATCAGTTTTTAATTCATCGATCTTTAGTTTATTTTGTTAGCAATTATCATTGTTCAAATAATCTAAACACTCTCAGAAGATAAAGAGTGTTTAGTGAGAGTGTTAACAAAGTCGTACATTCTTTTAAAAATTCATTAATTGCTTATCAGGAAAATGGATGTGTTAGAATCCATAAGTACCATGATTACACCAACTTGTTATATCATGAACTATGATATAATTTGTCTCAAAAATATAATTCTTTAATTCAGTTTAAGGTATGTATCATTTTTCTATTACTGTGCAGTGAAATTGTTTATTCTATCTTTAGTAACTCATATTCATACTCATCAAATAAGTTTATTGGAAACTTCTCTTTTTTTTCTTTTGAATGCATACCAAAGGAAAAACAAAATAATCATTTAAATATTACGTTATGGTACCATTACAGTTTAATTTAGTATTTAGTATGTTAATAATTTAAAATTTATAATTATCAGCATTGATAGTTACAGGGATTTTTGAATATTAAGGTTTTACGTTATGGTCTGAATTTATTTGAAAATCACTGCATATCTCTTTCGTCCCAGAATGGAGGTCCTCAGCAGTATACATCCACAACTCCACTAGTTGTTGGACACAAGCTCTTCTGGGGTCCCAGGGAGTACCTAAACTTCCGACAACTGAGTTGCAGCATAGTGGTTAATATTTCTAAGTTTGGTCAATCAACACTGTAGCGTGATGATCACCCATTGCTGTACGCGATATTTATCTCATGCCAAAGTCAGTTGAACCTCGCTGATCACGGCTTCTTGCGTTAACCCTTTGAAATATCTCTTAATGTTAGTCGCCAATAAATACATGGTAATTTCTAGCATAGGCGGCCTTGGAGAGTGTTGAATGTTTTCTACTTACTTTCAAATAAAAGTAAACTTCAACTGATTACTTTTTAACTACGAAAATGCTATTTGCTGTCAGAATTCATTAAACAAACAGACCACGATAATGTGTCATACCCGATACTGGAGAAAGAGAACTTTCCGTTTTGTTGAATAATATCACTTATATGTTAATCATCATGACCGAAATAATAAACCTGGTTTCAGCTTTACTGTTTAAACATTTGATCATATGCATATCATATCTTTAATGCACAAAAACTAGTACTCAAAGGGATATTTTGACCGAAATATGTTAGACTTGTCAATAAGCTATATGGACTGTTTCGCATGTATTTAACAATTTGGCAAATATTTCTTAACATCTTGCCAAGACGTACTTTAGAATACTGAAGCTATCTTAAATAATATGCACAATTAACGTTTATTATACCAATACTTACACTTATCGTCGTTAGTGAATTAAGTTTGTTATCTTAAATTTATCTGTTTAACAGTAAATTACATATGAAGCACTACATGTTTCACAAGTGATGGCAGCTAAAATTTAGTAAGGACATAAAAACGTAGCAATTTTCTTCAATTAAATTTCAGAAGGTTATCATTTTGTAAGATTGGAAAAAATAACTTTTGTGTGTGATATACGGTAAGGACAAAATATCTACGTAAGCTATTGTAAAGAATATAGTTCAACGTAAATAGCAACTGTTATAAATCAAGCTTCTGCGCTAAATATTTGTGTATCATGCTTAAACATATCAAAATAACATATGTTGTAATGTGTGAAAAACACATTTATTAAGAACAGACGAAAAGCAGACATTTTTAAAAATTAAGCTACGTAAATACTTGCATTGATTTTACAATTAACGAAACCGTACTTCAGTTCACTTATTCCGCATCCCACGGTATAAGTAGTGTAAATAATGTTAGGACAAGACTTTGAGGCATTTATTTGACAAATATGTTCATTGATCAAGCTGTAAATATCAAGAAATGTACATGACTAAGCAATTCAAATCCCAAATAAAAATAAAGGAGCTCATTAACTTTGGTAGTCTCATTATCTAAAATACTAGTTATTCAGAAGAATCTGAACACTTATTGTTTTCCATATATTGAAAATACTGATTTCAGAAATTATAAAGTTTTTATACAGGAATTTCATATGATTTAAATAACTTGAAAAGTTTTTAAAGAGCTTAGATTACATGTAGACAAATTAATGAAGAATATAAATTTTATTATTGTGTTTCTTGAATAATGGCAGGTCAGCTAGTACACTCAGTGAGTTTTGAAGATTGATCTACTTTCTCAAACGCTACATAATATTCTTGCTGAAAACTAATTCATCAGGCCTGATTTTTAATTGCCATCATTCTAGGTCTTATTACGAATTCAAACAAATGGAATAATATTAACTTAAAGTGATGTCAATTAGCGTCATTTTTGAGACCTATGAGATATTTATAGATAAATATTGTCAAATAAAATAAAACTTTCCGAAAAATCTTTATCATTTTGAACTCAACCAGCTTTACAACACCATATAATAACGGTTAATAAATGCAGAAGCATTTACTAAATGAATGAGGGTGAACATAAGTAAATGAGAACAGACAGAAAACATGTAACATTTGAGGAATAATGAATAATAACATTAACTTACTTCAAAGCTCAGATTCGTATAAAACCATGACTACTTTCACAATCAATAAGACTAATGAGATGAATGTTTTCAATGCCGAAATTTTAAAAAGATATTTATTACCAGAAAAAGTTTTTGTTCTCTCTGTACCTGAAATATTCCACCAAAAACCATTCAGGTCAAACCTACAAGTTTGGGACATACCTTTGTTTGCCCCTTTTTGATGAACAACTCACAAACGACTTAATATTATTTACATGGTTAGATTAGGTTCACTAATTAGTTTGTAACGGAAATTCAGCCTTTTCCTTTTATTGGTTCTGAAGATGATTTGATTTGTTTTACGAGCTGGTAAGGTCAATATCTCGAACAGTTAGGATCATATCATTTTCGAGTGCAAGCTTATAAGAATGAATACAGTGTAAAACATCCTAGTTATCTATCATGGATAATAATTAAATTAACAGAATCGTTGGTCTGGATGATGGTTTTAATGATAGACAGGACAAAACATTTTGACAAGCACGAGAAAAGTGAGATGAAGAGTTACGAAAGAATTTGTTGTTTTTGACTGTTAACATTTAACTTGTGAGGATCAGGTTAGACATTTATACGATTCTTTAAGTTTAGCCATCATTTTCACCGGTGAAATTTCAAATATTTATCGTAATTCCCAAGGATCTTTCATGTAATACACAATGCAGATGTTTTAAGCCTTCGATTTCCTGATTACAAAAGAATAAATAAGCTTTTAACAATAGACTGTATATACATAATTAACAAAAATTATTCATTTTTCTCTTGAATTATGGAATATATGCGAAAAACAGAAAGATTATGTATTTCAAACACATTTCTACTTTTGAGTTGGTGCACTTCAAGGTAGCACATAAAAAAATATAAGGGTATGCCTAACAGATATTAAAACTACTCGATGTATTTCACACTCATAAATTTACTACGAGTATCATTGGTTGACCCAACACTCATTTAGTGACAACATAGTAGGGGGGGGGGTAAACGTGTTTAATGACCGTAACCTTAACGTTTCGTGGATATTTATATTTAAATGAAAACAAACTTAGTAATTTAATTGAAGATATTCTTCTTCAGAAAAGCCTTTAATTTGTCTTTTGAATACTCTTGTAAGTCATTTCTCGACATTTTTATTCAAACCTTTTAACTGAAAACTTCCGTTAATTTCTTCAATTTCAATGAGACAAAGCTATATAGGTATGTTTTTGTCATATTTCAATAAAGTTAATCCAGATCTGAAAGGGTGTATCAATTAGGTATAAGAAAATGAACTTTCACATTTAGTCTATTAATGAAAACATCAAAACAATCATAAAAGCTTATTAAGTTTTCGGTAATATATATAACAATTACTAAAGATGTTGAAGTTTTTTTCTACATGATATTGATCATTTTTCAATTGAAATTATTTCAGTCACCATCATAAAGTAACGACTAGTCTATTTAGCTTTTTTCTATTTCCAAGGATTTTATTCGTTTTTATCAAGATCAAATCAACATTTTACTTTTACATAAGAATATCGCTTCATTGTAATAGATAAAAACATCTGGAATTATACCTAGTTTTGATTGATTATTTTTAAAATCTTGATTAATATCACACCCTTAAAAACTAATAACTTGTTTTTATCACTAACATCAAACAGTTGGAATGAGATAATCATAAGCAACAATAAGCAACTGTATTTTTTTTTGATAATATTCCTTTTTGTAAAGTATTTATCTGTTAGTCTCGAATCATTTCAATCTATCATAACTCCAAAATTTATTTATTTGCTTGGTTGTAACTCGAGAAAATAGTTGAAAGCATCTTTAAATTACACTGTAATTAGACTTTCACTGCATATTTAGGATATAGAATTTATGTCATGTCATATGATGCCAATTTATTCAGTACAATAAATCATGTCCTTTTTTACCTATCATTAGACTTATGATTATACAGTATTAAGACGATGTCAGTTTCTTCTCTTCGTTTTATAGTCTAAAATATACGTTGTGTAAAAAAATATTGTTTAGAAACTGTAGTCTGATACCATTCCTTTCATTTTTCAATTGAATGAATAGACTATAATAAAAGATCTGGTTTGTTTACATGATCATTCATAAATATTTCATCCATATTTTCTTACTCGTATAGAATTGTGATTGACACCATTTACTTTTTAAACTTAACTTTTAGAAAATGTTTGACTATATTCATATACTTAGTCTCTAGATCTAAGACACTAAATCATTATCTTAAAAAAAGCGAATCAAGTCAAAAATGAAATAATGATATATCATCGAAATCGTAAACTAATCAAAGCTTTACCGTCATTGAAAACCTGGAAGCACTGGATGAGCGTTTCGTTCTAGTATGAGACTTTTCAGCAGTGCACAGCCAAGACCTCATACTGGGATGAAACAACCGTTTAGTACAATCAAATTATTTTCTTGCAATCGAAGAGAAATAGGAAGTAGAGATATGCAAAATACTGACAATCTACCAAAGTTCCTAATGATTGTTTACATTTGAATGAAGGATTGTATTTTATGCCATTCAATGGTTCAAAAGTTCGTACTTATTCAGTGGAACTTAAATGATAAAATTTCTATTTATCATGTAAAAACGAATAGAAAATTTATTCAGATGATATGATCTTCTAGTCAAAAATTTTCTGTAGTACAATTCATGAAATACAGCTACATTACTTTGTCAAAAATTGTTCTTTCTTCATCATGCAACTCAAAACATAGAAACAGAATTTTCTGACAGTCATTTATTCCATGTTGCATTAATTGTACCTGTCCACACTTGGTTATCTCGAAAGCATTTTGGACTTAAAGGAATACGAATATTTCGTTGTCTTCCTTTCCATATAGGTCTTTCACCACTGTACTGCTGGTTGTAGTAATTGAACAAGGAAAATATTTCTATTCATTTAGTTCCTATTGACTGCTCTACACAAATAAATCAGTTTTACAGGTATAAACATATTCATACTAAATAATTGGTAATTAGTCAGTATAACAATTTATCTCAATACTCTTATTAAAACTAGTAGTCACTTAACGAATCCACGAATACAAAATTAAGTCTAAAAGCAAAGTTGTATAGTCGGTTAATCATAACAAATAGTTAGTTAAAAATAAGGATTGGTTAAGTTCGAAATTAAGCATTCAAATATGAATATTTGGTGGTATTAGTAATATTAATAATTCGCAGTTCATAAAACGGGTACAAAAAATTAGATAAACAAATTCTAAAGATTACCTAGTGATCAAATTAGAACTAAAAATTAGACCAAATTCGAAAATGTCCAAACCCATTAGAGTATCAATGCAAAGGACCGGGATAAGTTAAGAGGTTGAACAAATCTTTTTATTTACAAAGATTATGTTTGTTGATATGAATATCTATGACTTCCTTTATATGTAGAAAATGAATTCCCAAAACATAGAAAGTTTGATAAGTAACTTTGAAAGTTAGGTTCATATCGATTTTGTGACCGTTATGTATTGAATGTCCCAGAATGAAGTTTCTTGTTATTTTCTTTTATCCTTTGTTAAACCAATATGAATATTGTTCAGTCTGCCACGCTTATGTTCTCCTGTTTGTTTCGTGTTCAAAAAATGTCATTTTTGTATGTGTAGCTCCAAAATGATAAATCATTGAGTTGTAACTTAAAAAGCCAAATGATTTAAACTCTTTGCACCTAGTTATTTGGATTTTTCTCCCTATTTTCAAACAGAGAGTGATTACAGACTCATAGCGTCAAAGGAATATTTTAGTAACTATGTTTATCACCTATCACAGTTTACGATTATACACTTAAGGTTATTCTGAACAAAAAATGTTTATCACTACTTTCATAAAGAGATATTTAGCTTTTATACATAATCCTAAACGAAACAGTATCTCATTATCGAGACAAGCAAATCGGTTTTGATGATCTGAGTAGTTTGAGATTAGTCTAAACAGTTTTTATTTCCTACTGATGTAAGAAAAAACTCAAATTTTCTTTTTGTCAGATTAATGACCAGCTTTATTAGCTCTCCGGTTGTTGTACTGTGACACACGTAGTAAGCCGGCAGTATACGTTCAAGCCTAGTCGTTTCATAAATACGAAATTATTCAGTAACCTTATAGTATCTTAAATATATCGTTTAGGCAGAAAATCAATGGTTTTACCACCATATTTTAAACATGTCTTCATTATACATTGCCAATTTTACACTGTCTAAAAGATTTCAAGACATCATATAAATCTAAAGCCCTAGTTTGTATACAAACAAATAATAAATCCCAAAAATACATAAGATTTTTTCCATTAATGTCACATGACCAGCAGTAATAACCAAAATCAGATCACACCATGAAATTAGGAAAATGAAAAACATTTTGAAAACTTTACATCATATGAGTTTTTACAATCTTTTATTTCCATAGTTCTGATAAATATCAAAAATATACTGTATTGTAAAATATGGCAATTTCGAATGACTAATAATAGTTCTAGTTGTCTATAGTGCTTTGAATATTATTTTCTAAATATTTTACAATTTCTCCAAAATGTTCGTTAATTAACTTTAGCCTAAATATTTCCTTTCTACTTTTTTTCTATTTTTGTAAAACATAAACATGAATTAGGCGGAATATTATAACTTACATTTATCTTTTGTGTTTAAGCCAATATTAAATTATGAACATTAATTATTGTTACTTCATTTTTATCATGATTGATGATTTTACTTTGTAGAATCTACTTTCGATTTTGAAAGATTGATAATTTGATAAATTGCAAACATATAAAACTTTATTAGAGGTAAAACTTACATTTTAAAAAATGTCAGGGATTGAAAGTTGAACAATTTCAAAGCTTCATCCAATAACTGTGTCAGGAATTCTTCAGCGCAATAATTTAAATCCAAAGAATATATAATGTTTAACGGTCGACTTCACACTAAAAGCTTATCAAATTATATTCAGATGTTGATTTCAGTAAGAAAATGTGGGTCATTTATGCATGAATACTGTGGAAGCTTAACGATATGAAAAAGAATGTGTATGTGTGTATCTACCACTACAAAATCAACATCTGTATATGAAATTTCACAGGTTGAAATCATGAGTCAGTTTAAGCTAGACCACCATGGAAAACCTGGAAGCACTGGACGGCCGTTTCGTCCTAGTATGGAACTCCTCAGCAGTGCGCATCCACGATCCCGCACCACGCGGGGCTCGAACCCAGGACCTACTAGCTTCGCGCGCGAGCACTTAACCACTAGACCACTGAGCCGGCATCCAACGGTGTTAATGTCTAACTTAAACCAATCCACGAAGTTGCGCCACCGTACACCATTGTCTTCAGTGAGTTACTATCTCACAACAGATCTGGTTGAACTCCACTGGTAACGGCTTCTCACTAGAACTCCAGGAGTTTTTCCTGAGTATGCTTTCAGTGTAGATTTTTCCTGAACTGTAGTGTCTTTGGTGATTTTGATTATTACCCTGAATAAATCCAGACAAGCTTATTGAATGAAATGTTGAAATTATTTAAACCTCAATCCCTAAAATTATCGCTTATAAAATTTTCGCATATAATTTCTTCTATGAATTCGGCACCCGATTTCTGTCAAACTAGTCGTTTAAATACTGATGAATATTCGAAAATGTATGAAACCTCATTTTTAAGAAAACTTAATTTTGTGAAGTGATTTAAAAAGTCAAACTGCTATGAAAGAGATAATAATTTCACATTTGAGCATTTTGATGACTTATCGATGTAACGTAACGTGAAACTCAATGTCCCTACACGTTCGTTTGAATCATGCTAAAGTATGAATTGAAGTTTTAGCCAGACTAGAGTTTTTGAGATACTTTTTTAACTAGACTCTTTAAATTGTAAGATATTCCATTCGTCGATATTATCTTATGTTCAATGTTCCTCATTTGACAGGTCTTCTTTTCATTAGGTATTCGAAAGCTTGCTGATAGAGTATGTTTATCCATTCTAATTACTTCCCAACTTTTAGAAAACTGTTAATAGACATCCGAGTTTCAGCTTTAAACAGGCCAACCCTTGGACCTATGTACTTGTTAAGGATGAATCTCAAGCTTCATAAATTTATGACATGGCTTGACGAACTGTGAGTGATAATATAGTAACGCTTTACAGTATGCAAATACTTACACGACATTTCTATAAAATACTAGGATGGAATATTCTTTAAAACTTTGAAGCGTACTAATTCATATTTTATTTTCATACTTCTTTGTAGCCTATTCGAACGATAGGTGAAATTCCTATTTTAGGAAGGGGAACAAGAACACAAATAGTTACTGAAGATCTCTCTTTGCCACCAAACAAACCACCTAAAAAATATGGAGTTTGGCCCAATTCAACTCAAATTCCACCTGCTGTTTCACAACAGATGAATCTATCCACAAAACAACAGGATAACATTTCTCAATATAAAAAGTAAGTAATTATGTTGAGTTGTGTGAATTCCGACTGCGACATAACAACATATTAGTGTGGCGCAAAAGTAATTAACGAAGGTTTAGCTTGTAGTCAATTAAATTACCTGAGATAAATCTCTTTAGATAAAAAACTGTAAACCTTTTCAGATATCCATGTTAAACTACATGACAGCTGTATAGCCTTAGATGAAGAATTTTGGTTTGTTTGATAATCATGAGTGGTAGTCATCGAGTGTAAATAATTCATTTGGTGTAATCTTGCAAAGACGTTCTACAAATTAAATTAAAGGAACTACACTTGAACCAGCTAGGAAAAAAAACAGTATTTTGGTTTCACTAAATGAAGTTGCGGAGATGTTATACGGACAGAAGTTTAAAGCTTCGTTCATGAAAAAATAAGACATAATAAAAAAATTCCGAAAATATCTGCAACGAACTCTAAAAATAACTGTTAACATAACATAAAAGCACCGAAGTTTCAAGTGCCTCAGTGTAATAGTTATAAGAAAACGAACGATATTCGTTATTGATTTACACTCTACAATTTCATTTGAAAATAGATTGATCTTGAGGCCATTGAATCGCAAAATGAAAGATGAGAGATTTTTGCTAATATCAAAAATTCCTTAATTTATTATATTCAGCGAAATTTGAAAAAGTGCACAGAAACAGTCTAAAATAATCGGTGAAAGTACCATAACCTGGTGAGATTATAGTCTCTTTTACAAATTCTCTCCATTTTTTCTCATCGTTTTAGAATAAAACGACTTACTTCACTATATAAAATGCTGTCCATTTTAATTATGAGTTAGGAAAATTAGTTTTTTGCGAAGTCGACCGTTTGTAACTGATGCCTAACTGACAAACACCAAAATGTTTCAAAGAAAGACTTTTACCACAAATTATAGATTGATAAGTATAAAAAAATGAATGTAGACGAAGTATCTTCAAAAATACGCGAAATAGGGTGGATTAAGTTAGATAAAATCATGATCAATTTAGGTACATTTGAAAACATTACGAAACTGGCAATTATTAAACACGATGGTAATTTTTTCTATACTAGAACGTAATTAGTATAATAATAATTCCTCTCAATGCAATCTAAAATTATTCCGATATCGATATAAATATAAAACAAACTTTCAATAATAATAACTATATTTTGCCAATAAACTCCGTCTTGTAGATACAAATTGGGATCTAAAATATGCAAAATATACATTTCAAATAAAATTCTCATCGAAAGTCAAATCTAGTGCTGTTTCGAAAAAAGAAATATTTATACTAATGAAATTAATTAAATATCTGTTTCAAGAAGAAATTGAATATTTTTTTCTTAACCGCAAAGGATTCCCTGACTGTAAGACACATCATAATATTAACCTTTTATCTACTAAGCACTAATTTACATTAAATAGTGTATCGATACTTGTACCGGTTAATTTATTGACAGCATTCTTTTGTCGAGATGTTAGTTATTACAGAGTATAAAATTAGATAAACAATTCCTTAGAAATTATGGTTTTCCTTCACTTAACCGTTCTATGCCTTTCATGTGAATCTGAATGGGCTCGTTACATTTGGTTCGTTGTAAACTTTTTACGATTTCGTAACTGAACATGAGAAACTAAATAAATTGATAGAACGTCGAACAATTGGTTATTTTCAGCAGCTACGTGTCTAAATATCTGTGATTAACGAGGACACAAGTTGGAACAACCAATTGTATTCTAATACAAAATTACAGAATATTTCGATTAAATATAAGGACCATACACTGAATACTTTATTTACAAATTTCTCTCACTTATCCTCCACATACTATGTGATTCTTCAAATTCACAACTCCTTTCTATTTTCCCTTCTACTTTCTCAACTTGTTCTTATTAGCCTTCTACTACCAAGATTTCTACTTTCGACTGGTATTACATACTACTCATGCCTGTCGATATAAGTAGCATAAAACCACATATCCTCACAATGAATCTGTTGAAATGATTTACTTTTATGTACTGAAAAATGAAATGTTTCCTTAACAGCTATCATTATATATAGCATTTTCAATTCACCTATTATACATAACTGATCTTTCAATAGAGTTTATGTTTCATATTCTTAACTTTCTGAGCATGATGATCATCCGTTATTTTGTATCAACTACTGGTTAGACAATATAACGTTTCCCTTGATAATGTACCAGGCTCAAAATTTATTCATATCTAAAACAGAAGGTAAACGAAGTAAATTTATTTCTTCATTGATTGATCTAAATAAATCTGAAAAATTTTGATTCTATGGATAACAAAATTTATTTGCACAGATTTAGCTATTACACAAACATCTTTTCGCCTAGATTTCGCCATTGCAAGTTATGTTTTTAACTGTCATTATGTTGTGTTTATTTTTTTGGTTTTTCTAATAAAACATCAATTTAGTGATTTATTTTACCGAAGAAAATCTGATAAAATAATACAAACAGATGATTTTGATGATGATGATTCATGGATAACTGGAAGCTTAGATTCTCCAAATAATCAGGTAATAAAATTTGTTTTTTAAACATCTTTTATTTCTGTTTCTTTTTCTTTTGTTTAAATAATCAAGAAAAAATGATTTCAATCACTTGAAATTTGATCTTAAAAATGCTTGATAAAATTCTTTATGTAGAAATTTTCAATCTTATCAAAATATCCATTCAAATTATAGATATTCCCATCGGTTGAATTTTATTTAATAAATAATAAAAATAAATTTTGATGTCAAATATTTCTGCTTATAAACTATATCACTGTTGATGATAATCACTTTGTTTTAAACACTAAAATTTACTATGCACATGAAAGTTGAGAATCTATATTAATTAAAAATGGAACTCTTATTTCCTACTTATAATGAAAAATTTTTACTTGTCCATTTTTAAAGATAAAAGTCGGTGATAGATAAACGATAAGAAAAGTTTTGATCTTGATTTGCTAGCAAAATGAAATGCACGAGTCATCGTTTAGTATTTTTAATCGTTTAAATTTTATTGTTTAACACTTATAATTTGTAAAACCCAAAGGGATGAAAAAATCCGTATGATAATTATGGAATGGAAGTGACTCTTCTGTATATAGAGGTCGAGTTTGGAATGGTGAATTTCCAAAGCTTCAACTATGTACGAACTCTTTATTGAAGCCTTTTTCGAGCTAGTCATTCTCACATTGAAGGTGATTTTGAATGACAATTTATTTGGTGGAGTGTGACCTAAGCTGACCATGTGTTCAAGAACTGAGCTATTGATTAATTTTTATTCATTATTAGGTATCCATACAGGGTAGTGTTTGGGGCGAGACTAATTTATGGACGAGCCAATCAGAAGCGTTCGAGGTATTTCAAGGTCACGGCGCCAACTTCACTGCTTAATACTAACGTACGATCGGTTCACAGGGGTTTTTATACAAAACGTGATGATTGAGCGGCTATAACAAATAAAACGGCGAAACTATAATTTGTGGAGGAAACAATCAGGTATAAGATAACAGATTTCGGATTTTGGCTCAAAATTTACTAACCCATTTGCTTAAACAGAGTTTTGGCATTCTAGCTGATGTCAGTTCTTGATGAAAACCCCATATATAATTCCTAACTAAGGCAAATTATGACAATTATTGCGAACTGGATAATAAAAGCACCAGTAACACTGGCTGCAACCAGGTACTACAATATATACGGATGTTTGGAGAGCGTACAGACTCCTACATAGGCTTGGTTATCTGCATCGTGTCGTTATCCACAAGTAGCATTTTGTGCACTCAACAACCGGAGTGCACATAAACAATATTGAAGTTATGTGGTCGAAGCTTAAGGAGTTTTTGAGACTTTACCATGACTCTAGAGGCCGACTATTCTGTAGCCGCATGGATAATTCCCTCTACTGTATGCATTACGATTTTAGAACCTCTGAAACTCTTTCTAACCTCGGCAAGTTTTTGAACCACGTATAAGAATTATATCCACTTTATTCCCTTGGTTTTGTATAATATACTTTTACTCTATACTGACTGTTTGCTGGTTGGCTAATATTTTTCAGGGTCACTTGAGATTCGTTCAAGGTTCGTCCATAAATTAGAGTCTCGCCGTGTTTGGATATTCGTTTACCAGGTCCACATTTTTCGCGGCTAGTATAACCTGCTCCACAAGATTAAGTAGACCGATAAATGCACATTGACGTGGCCAGATGTGGGATTTTATCCTTGGCACATCCTACAATGAGGTTTTGCTGGTGAAAATATTTCGGAACTCTGTTGAATAGTACGTCTTTCTCAAGGATCTAGATAGTATTAGATAGCTTATTGCTTCCTTCACGAGACTTGATAGCCACTGATTCTGTCATATTTAGAAACATTAGTCATTTAAGATGATTGAGAATTATTAAGTTACAGTGCAACAGCATCCGACTTCTAATACTTCTGCAGATGATATCCATTTCTGACAAAAGTGATACTTCAAAGATGTCTTCGTAATCATGTCACGTTATATTTTGTCGAACAGTAATATAATATGCGAGAAGTTATGAAGTGATAATGCAGCTTTGAGTGCTTTTAACCTTATTTACAACTAAGTGCAAAACGGTGTGACGATCCAAGCCATTCTATAAACAATCAACTTTGAAACTGGTCAAAAAAATCACTACAATTAATTGAGCTAATGTGTTGACTTATTTTTTATGTCCAGTATAATTCAGTGACTACTGTTTAGATCAGTAAACGATAAAACATTTTTGTGAAAGTTTTGGGACCCGAGTATGTGACCTTGTTAACGAACCGACCACATACCTTCCGTTGGACAGATTGTTAAGTAGATTGCGGGAGATTTAATGTATAGCATTTTGGTTTACATCAATCGTTTACAACTTAAAGAAGTTGAAGAGTTTTTAATACAAGTAACGAAGATACTTAGGATGCTTTCTGTTTATAATAACGTCTTCTTCTAGTAATTACGTTGGTATAATTCATGTCTAACAGACTTTTATGTCGACTGAATTTAGAAACAGTTACTTCATTAACAATTTGCATCATTATCTATTGCATGATAGAATCACTCATTTCCACAAATTTATCTTACAAATCACTCTCATTTTACAAGGTTAATAAATGTTTTTTAAATCTGATAGCGTTGGTTTTTCCGATGTTAGTCACAGAACAAATGGTGAGAATAGAAGAGTTACATGAAAAGTGAAAATGGTATTCGTTTAGATCGATTTATATAGAATACTATTAGCTGCTTTATACGAAACTATTTGTTAGATTCCACCGATTGTCCTCTCAATCGATGATACAGTTCTGTACGAATGACTACATATTTTATTGACTTTTAAGCTAAAAAAAATATGTCCCTGGGTTTTTACTGTTATCTACTATGCTAATAAGATGCAAACATATTGTCTGGATTATGATAAAAGCAGTGGAAATGACATGAAAAAGAATATTTAGATAAATTCATGCTGAAAATAATCTCACATCCAGGTAATTTGCATCTATTGAAAAACTAACCATACAAAAATGTATACGACAATATTATTTTATAAGCAAATGTCATGTATTTTAACAGAATCCACTTCAGGTTATATAAATATTTATATTGTTTGCAAATGATTTTATCTGATCACACTATTCAAAAATTTGATCATATTCATTATAACAGAAAAAAATGCCAAAAAGCTAACTATATGAAATGAAATGTTCTATATAACAGCAAGATTAAAATAAACGGACTTTAATATACACGTATTCTACCTTAATCATTGTCCATTCATTTTTTGATAAGTTAATATGTATAACTTGATTACTTGTTTATTTATCATAGTAATTAAACAAGACAGTATAAATAAACATGTTCATACTGGTTTGCATTATTGATATTAACCAGCTTCAACTGAATAAGAGTAAAAATGTAACCTTTTATATTTGAACATGTCAATCATTAGACGACTAAATGAATGATATATATATACATATATAGCACACATTTTAGGACGTAGAAGATAAATTGAATCATTTGTATATTCAGAAACTATTTACTGGTCAAAATGTTTCATACCATTCCCTAGTATTGGAATTCGTTCATGATGTATATAATATATATTCATGAATTGAAGATTAGCTAAAATAAATTTATCGTTTGAGAAGTTCATGTTCAATTCAACTTATTCTAATAAAAATAACTCAAATACGATGAAAAAAATTATTCTGTTACTGTTAGATACCATCCAGCTCAGAGAACAAAACTCCATCATTATCGTTTTCTTTTTGTTTTGTTTTTCGATTTATTTAATACTTTATTGACAATAACTGATGATATATCAATAAATCTGAAATCTTGAGCAAACCGATGATATCATTAGCTTATGAATGTATATTTACTTGATCACTTAAAGATCTGTTATTATGACAAAAATGTTGAAACATCACTAACCTTCAGTGTCGTTATCAACCTATAATAGTAACTGTATAAAGTCTTATGTTTTGACATATGGAATTCTAGGGATCTTTGAAAGTTTTCTCTAAAAGTATTTATCTATTAAAACAATCTGTATGCTATATGACAATCTGATTATTTATTCTTGATGCATGGACGAGAATGACAATGGTTGATTGTCTGTTTAGTCAGACATGTATATAGTCTGACAGGTGTCAGATGGGTTATATATTCCCTTATCCTTATAATTGTTATTACTAATTGTTTATTGTTGTTGGATTATGTCGTGTTTGGTGTGGAAATATATTTACGTTCTTATCAGGCTAATCACGTGTTCTTGATCTGAGTTGTGTTGAAATCTTGTAGAATAGACACTGAGTGGGAATCTTGTGTAGATATTCGTCTAAGGTAAATTAACGTCCCATATGTGTAAACGTAGAAAACCGACCATTATAACAATTCTCTAAAGACTATTTTAGCACTTTAAGTTCGAATAGGAGCAAACACTGAGTTTGTATATTAATCTCACTGTTAATGCTTATATGTTTATATACTATAAGTTTACGATACTGCTATGTGGTGGTATTATGTATTCTCTATTCACTGACCCACTATGACCAAAATATATTTTGTATACCCATGCTGTGTGATATTCGTTTTAATATTGGAAATGTTAACTTTGGTTTATTACTATCTAATAATAATTTTGTTAATTTATATCTATAAAACCAGTTATAAGTGAATTTTTTATCCCAATAAATATTATTACGTTTGTTGTGTTGACAGTGAGTAATTGAACCTAGATTTCAGACATTTATATTCCTGAACTGAAACTTTTCAAAGACGCATTGATAGAGTGTCATATTGACGTTCAAAAGTGCTGTGAAAGTAGCAAAAAGATAGATATAGATTTAGTAATGTCATTATACGGTGAATAAACTGTGTATCATTTAAAAGTTATTCTTGTCTACATAAACACAGTATTTTTTCTTACACTTTAAAACATTTTTTGCCGCTCAAAATCTTTGTATATATAAAACACGCTGAAAAGTATCAGAGCTCCAAAGAATCAAATATTT